ATTTTTGCAACTGCATTTATTTCACGCGTTCCCTCAGGACTCTTGACTGTGATATCCACACTGAGCATAAGACTACCATAATTTTCACCAGGGGCAGTCAAACGACGCACTTTATGTCCCAGAATGACACACTGAGGGTCCAAAGAGACCACTTCTTCCAGACAATCAATTTTTTGCACGTCCATTGTTACAAACGCAAAAAGAAAGTGAACATTTTTGCAACTTATAGATGAACAAAGTGACAGATTAGATTGTTATCACTGAAATTATGACACACTTGAAGACAAGGTCAAGTGTAAAATCACAATTCATACTAGATTACAAGTTTTTGGAATGTAGACGTTTTTGACAACATTTGCAAAATAATTCTGGTTTCCACCGAAAAAAGGTAGTTAAAAATCTTTTGCAAAATCTTGCAAAAACATGAGTTCTTTGGTCAAAAATGCGCTTAAAATCGCTACAAACACAAAAATTACACAAATGTTCGTTTAATTTTTTTTTGACATTTTCGTGCCATATATTCTGCTACATACGAAATTACGAAATTTGAAGATTTTTCAACGTTATAGTTCTGGTCAGTACTAAAAGATTCATTAAAAATCACGTCTTCATTAAACCACATACAATTTTCCATTGCTTTGTCTAAATTTTCGTTTATATTGGATACAATTTCGTCTGTCTTAATTAAACAAGAGAAGATTTCAGCATTGTCTACATTACTACCTTTTGGAGGCTTTATAAGAGAGTACCTACGTGCTCATTAATTTAAAAATTTGTACAAATAAATTTGAATCTGGGTGATCATTGGAACCACAAGCCCCTCTCATCATTCCGAAAAATTTCTGAAAATTAAAAAAAAACAATAGTTAAATAGTGCATGTGCTTACTAATGTCCTCCAGTACTAAAACTTCACAAATCTTCTTCCAAGACAATAGTAAACATGAATGAGGTACATATGTACCTAGTTAGTTATTTATGAAACATGATTGCTGTTTTATTACAAATACGTAGCAAAGCCAAAATGTTATCCTTTGACAAGAAGACTTCAATTTTAGAGTGGGTTTTACAATAATTTTCACACATTTTACATAAGAAAGATAGGTAAACAATTATTGCAATTCTGTTTTGTAAATTTAACATTAAATGAAATCATTTACCTCTAAAGCGTCCTGATTTAATCTAGCCTTATAGTCACAACTGGTACAGAGACATTTCTCTATCATTATAAAATTTCTAGCGTAGCCTTAAAAGTGATTACAAATCCCAGAAAAGTGCTATTGGATAGAAAATAGTAATTATTTTCCTATGAAGCGTTCTTCCATTTTTTTAAATAACCAACAAAGTCAAGTAAAAACTATAACAGGAAAAATATGTAGAACTTTTTAGAATCCCAGTTTTTCCATTTTACATGAGATTCTGCTGAATCAAGCCTTAATGGATTTTCTGGTGTTCTAGAACTCATCACTTTAATAAGTAGTGAAATCTTATTTATTAAAGAAATGGTTGGTTCAGCATCTTTTAGATTTAAACATCCATCTTTATAAACTTTCATTGCTACTTCCGTTTTTTCACTAAAAAACTAAAAAAACATAAAAATGGTAAAATAGTTCTTTCTAAATTAATTACCTATTCTATGGGCAACATTCATTTTCTGATACCCCTTGGGTTGTATATCATCTACACACAATTTTGGACAAATCTTTAGATTTAAACCTTTGGGTTTATCGGTTTCTATTACAGAAGACCAATGAACAAGTTTTACTACACCATCGGGAGTCTGTAAACTTTTCTTATTTTAGGACAGAACAGAATTAATATTTACCCAAGTTTCAAATTTATTCACAATAAAATTTCTGAAATTTTTTATCATATGTGGAAAATCAAAACCAGCAAAAACAAAACTAGAGCCGTCTGTTTTCATCAAATGGATGTTGACACGATACTTCATCTTCGGATATACCAAATAATTTCCACATACTTCGATTCCATGATACTGCATCCGTTGTTACAACGTCAACGTAAAATCCAGATTTTTTGAGAAGAATTACACACTCAATAGTCAAGTGTTGTAAAACTTTCGATGATGCACATCCTTTTGACAAAAAACATGCTAGTGATTGAACTCAAGCACCTTTAAATGGTTGGAACATCATTACTAGGGCATGGTCCCCTGTTTTATCTTTTTGAAGTTCTGGTGTGTAGTCCCCTAAATTAGTAAATCCCTTTATTTTTAATGTTGTTTTGTCAAAAGTTCATTTCTCAGTCAGTTTCATTTCGTCTATTAAAAGTGTTCCTATACAAAACAAATAATTGATCTATACATTCAAAAGAATTAAATTTTGTCTTTTACCTCTTCTCTCACTTTCTGGCATTAATTTTTTCTTTCAAAGCTCAAAAACACGAGATTCAAATCCATAACATCCTCTAATTCCTCTAATATATCTACATATTAAGTATTTCTACACATGGTAGTGGCAATAAGTTTACTCGGCGCAAATGTTCGTATGTAGATCTACTTTTAATTCTTATTAAATCCACGCGGTTCAGTATCGTCTGTTCTTTGAATTTTTTAATTCAGCAGATTTAAAACAGGTTCGCACAGCTTCTTGATGAAAGGACGACAAATGTTTAATAAATTCATCAATTCTTGCTTTCTTAATAGAAGCAATTTTATTTTTTGGTAGGATCATGTTTTGAGACAGTTTGACTACCTTCAAGAATTTTCACAAAGTATTAATAAAATTACTCTGACCACTTCAATAAACATACTTTTTGTTTCAATCTAATATTTTTTCTTTTAACGCACTTAACAACCCCCTTAAGTTTTTCATGTTTTTTTAAAATACTCTGCAATTTATCTTTTTGCGAAACGTTTTCACAATTAGACGGTAATATTCTCCAATGAAAAAATTATTGCTTAATTAATTTACACAAAACTGTTAATCTTTCGTTTCTGTTTCTGTAGAGGAAACTAAACTATCAACTACTTTCAAAATTTCTGTAAGTTCTTATATCTTTGAAATCTTCCGTTTACTAATGTTTCCAAAAATTTTTGAACTTTCCAATAAAATCTTAAATTAAATTTAGAAGAAATATCTAATAGCCATATTTTTTAATAATACTAACTTGAACAGACATATCTGAGTGCAAAATAATTTGTTTTTTGGCTTGATATGTGTCATTCCACTCTACAAAAATTAAGTCGTTAGAATGCTGTAAATAAGACTTTGTCCATTTTTTTGTACGTATGTATAATTTATCAATATTGTTTTTCATGTATTCAAATAACGTATTTTCTAAATTTTCTGCAATATTATATTTTTGTTGTTCCTTTTCATTATTGTCTTCATTTGCATTAGGAGCTTTATTTCTGAAAGCGGGGTCTTTTCGTTTTGGTCTTGCATTAGATAAATAATACGGCAAATTTGGAAATATGCATGGAATTGCTTCACTTTTAAGTTTAGGTTTCCCTCTTTGAATTTTATTAGTATGCCCATTCTTTAATTTAGTTTCATAAAACCTCATGTGTGAATCCAAAAAATAAACTTCACATAAACTATTGTGTTCAGTTAACTCTTTGTCTGCTCTTGGTATTGCCTTTTTCCACTTATTCAAAATATATTCAGTAAAATTCAAATATTCAACTACCATATTACGATGTGTATAAATAATATCATAAATGTGTAAATAATATCACAAAAATCTCTAATTTTTCAACTGAAAGTCTGTATTGTCATATCTTTGCTGTTTCT